AGGAAGGAAGGAAGGAAGGAAGGAAGGAAGGAAGGAAGGAAGGAAGGAAGGAAGGAAGGAAGGAAGGAGGGACTGAAGCAAGGAAGGAAGGAAGGGAAGGGAAGGGCAGGGCATTGTAGAGTGTGCTTACACAAACCTAGATGGCATAGCCTACTAAAATACAGCATTATAATGTGGGACTACCATTGCATATGTTGTTCATTATTGACCAAACCATTGTTAAGAGGCATGTGGCTGTATTTGGGAATTAGGCCCTTGGAAGGTAATTAAGATTAAATGAGTCATAGGGTGGGGGCCTGAACTGACAGGATTAGTGCCCTTATAAGAAGTGACACCGGAGAGCTGACCCTCTTCCCTCCCACACACATACCAAGGAAAGGCCATATGAGGATGCAGCAAGAAGGCAGCCACCTGCAAGCCAAGAAGAGCGCCCTCACCTGAAACCAAGCCCTGCTGGCCCCTTGATCTTGGACTTCCCAGCCTCCAGAACTGTGAGAAAATAAATGTCTGTTGTTTAAACCACGTACTCTGTGGTATTTTGTTATGTTGCCTGAGCAGACCAGCATAGAGATCTTTGGTTTTAAGGATGTCTCACATCCGGTTTTGGGTTGTTGAGCTGCCTAAGGAAACATTATCATCCTCTGGACAGAGACTGCATGCTGGCAATCAAAACCAGCTTTGTTCCACTCTATAACTCTCTGGAAATGTTTGAATCCACTCTGGCAATGTGTTTATTGCTTTGCAATGTGCCAACTGGAGCTTCAAAAGCCTTCTTGAGATCAAGCTTTTGAAAATGTGGCTTAGTGTATGAATGACTGTCAGCGAAGGTCACTCTCCATCCCTGCCAACTGATTCAGCCTGCATAGGCTCCTCCACTCTGCGGGGGGCCAGGAGGGTAGGCAGAAGAATGTGGCTTCTAGACCAAAACAAACCACACTGAAAAATATATAGTCATGCAGACACATACATAGACAGCCTTGTTATAACAATAATGTATGCTTATTGTAGAAAAATTGAAAAAATCATTTAAGTATGAAGAAGAAAATTTTAATTACCTATAATCCCACTGCTTAGATGCACTTCCTTCCAGTCGTGTGTGTGTGTGTGTGTACAGACTTGGGATCATACCATTGTATGTAGATATCCTCCTTTATCATTTAACATCATTTATCATGGATGTATTGTAAAGTCATTAAGTGTTCTTCAAAAAAATACTGTTTTAGTGACATTTTCCACGTATGACCTTTACCTAAGTGCATGAATCTATTCATGTAAAAATGCCGAAGGGAAACAGGCTGATGGTAGCTTGACTTCCTAGTGCTTTGAACTCCTTAGCAGTGATTGCCAGATACCAAGGTGGGCTACCCAGAGAAATGGTGGGCTCTTTTCTTTCTCTAGAATAATTTGAGAACAAAAAAGTCCCCTCCAGTTGGGGGGGTGCAACTTTTTAAAAAGTTTCTCAGGCATGCCAGTCATCTGGGGTCATAACCAGTCACCTTAGGTTTTCACTCCTTCCCTCACCCTGCCATCGAGACACAGTCCTGGAAGGACGCTGACAAACAGATGCGCTTGTCTCTTTTCTGCAGGCCAGTGTCTAAAATCCTAGACTGTCAGGTCCACCTCTTTCCATTCCCTGGGGAAGGACACAGAGACCTAGAGAACAGAGGCGGGGTCTCGCGAGGGGCAGCCCTGAGACAGGAACACAGGTCTAGCCCCTCATGCTTGCTCCTTTCTCTTCCTTTTATTATAAAGAAGATTTTTTTTCAGGCATACAAAAAAGTATAATCCAAGAAGATATTTTGTTTCCACCACTCGACTTCAGAAATAAAAATATCTCTGAACTTCTTCAGTTCCCTGTCCCATTTCTCGCCCTTCCTCCTCACCTCACCCTAAATAGTGACTACAGTCCTGAGTTTTTGGTCTTCATACCACAGAGATTTTCATATCTTGACTGCATATGCATGCAAATAATCATATATTTTTTAATTGAGATGGAGTTTCACTCTTTTCACCCAGACTGGAGTGCAATGGCACAATCTCAACTCACTGCAAACACCACCTCCCAAGTTCAAGTGATTCTCCTGCCTCAGCCTCCCAAGCAGCTGGGATTGCAGGTGTGCACCACCACATCTGGCTAATTTTTGTATTTTTGGTAGAGACGGGGTGTCACCATGTTGGCCAGGCTGGTCTTGAAGTCCTGACCTCAGGTGATCCGCCCACCTCGGCCTCCTGAAGTGCTGGGATTACAGGCGTGAGCCACCATGCCCCAGCTGAAATCATATTTTTTTACACTTTAAACTACACATACTTTCTTTCATACTTTGGGACCCTTTTGTAACTTTTTTGGTTTCACTCAATACTTTTAAAGAGTCGTCTACGTTTTAACATCAAGAATATTCCAGACTATGAATGTGTCACAATATATTTACCTATTCTCAGGTTCGTGAACATTTAGGACATGTTTTACCACCACAGAGGCACAGCAATGAATATTCTTCACAAGAATATTGTACCTAATTTTTTCCTGGGCTGGGCTCACTAAGCTAAGTAGCCTGTGATCGTGAGCTATTCCCCAGATATGCATAGATTCTGGTTACAGTTCTGTAGTTACTAAATTTGTGTTATGCCATCCTGGAGAGGATGGAAAGGAAACAGCAGTAGTGGAATGAATGAGTTGGACCCAGAACAACTTGGCAGGTGGAAATACATGTAGGAAAACCCCTGCTGAAAAATAGAAGAGGGAAAAAAATTCCAGGAGAAACTGTGCTCCTAACCCCACCCTGTGATCAGTTCCCAAACTCCTTTCCTGGAGGAGCTCTGAGGCCTGTACGAGAGAGAGGGTCATAGACTCAGACATGTATTGATTGAAAAAAGGTTAAGTCTAACTCTTTCTTTGTCTTTTTGATCATTAAATGAAAAATGCCATAGATGCTAAAGTTCTTCTGAAACATTTGACTAATTGCCTGAATTAGGAACAATTTTTTTTATCATTGCCTCAAGTTTTCTAATAGCTATTTTTTAAGAGAATATTCTTCAAGAATTCAAGCAACACCATCAAGTAACATTTATTCATTTGAAGTTTTATCCTCTCTTTCTGTTTTTAAGATCCTCTGAAAAAGCTTAATGTTTATCCCTCCAATTTTGGCCTGCTTTAGCAAGTACTAAAATTTTTGCCCTGAGTTTTTTGTTGTTGTTGTTGTTTTCTTTAAAACAAAGCTGAAATTAACACTGCTCTCTTGACCCAGCTACAAAAGCTCTTCCTTTACATAATGACTTTCATCCATATGGGAAGGAAGCTTATGAGTCTATCACCAGCCACGGAAAATGAAATTCTCTAAATCTCAATGAAATAATGTCTGTCTTTGGCCTTTCTTAACCAAAAGAGTGAAGGATTTAGACACAAAGAAAACAGAGAGTTGAAATCTGGGCACCTTGCCTTTCCAGAATATGCTTGCTCCAAAGTAGGTCAGACTGTATTGCTACAAATCTTAACAATTCTTTTTAATACTTTCACTGGTTACATTTGAGGGCTTGGAGGGAGAATAATTCCTTCAATTAATTAAAGAAAAATTACAGTAGTGAAAGAAAGACTCCAGAAGTGCCAAGGATCTCTATCTCTAACCCCAGTGAGTTCATCAACATTAAAATTATTATCAAAAGGATCACTGGTAGTGACGCAATTATTATACAATGGATGCTTCCGTGGCCTGCCATGGTTGACTGCGGACATTCATTCTCCCTCCTAGTGTCTGAGCTGACGCAGCTTCAGGAGAGGCCAAGACCAAGCTGCAAGAAGAGAAAACTAGAATGAACTCGACCTCTCTCAGATTGACATCCCTCTCCAGAGGTGTCCAGGGATGGTGTTTTTAAACCCAGAATTCAGGAGAAACTTACTAGAAGGCACAGATTTTGATGAAGGTATGTGTAGGTGATGCAAATATACTGAAAGCTTGCATATTCTAAGTCCCTGGGGGCATATTGTTTCTGAATCCAAATTCTATTTTTCTTTTTTTTTTTTTGGCCCCTCTTATATTTCGTCCTTAACCACAAAGTGAAACAGGTGTACCTAAGAGCAACCTTGCCAGGAAGTAAACAGTATATTTTAGTCACAGAATCAAAATGTTGCCAGTTTATTTTATTTTATTTTTTTGGAGAGGCAGGGTCTCACTCTGTCGCCCACCCAGGAGTGTAGTGGCTTAATCACAGCTCACTGCAGCCTCGACTTCCCAGGCTCAAGCTAAATTTTCTTTCTAATTATGTATTTATGACTTCAAAATCTTTTAAACTCCTTTTCTAAATCATCACAAGCCAGCAAAATCTGCTGGGCTTTCAGGGATTTTTTAAACGACCTCTAGCTTATTCTCTTAGCACATCTGAGTCTCTGCAAGAAATTATCCCAGAAAGATGACTCTTCATGAAGCTATCCAGAGAAAATTTTCCAGTGTTCCCCCAATTAACCAATCTAGGACAACACAGATACCATCAGCAAATTCTCTCTTCTGTGTGTCTGAAAGATAGAGGCCTCATTTCAGTCCTCACTGGGAGGGAAATATTGTTCTTGCATTATTATTTGTGTACCTCATGTTACTTTCTTAACCGTATTTATCAGCTATCACCAAAAATATACTGCATAAGAAGCAATCTGAAAACTCAATGGTATAACAAATGTATTGTTCTTGCTCAGGTATTTGTGTGTCGTTAGAGAGGTGATGAGCCTGGGTTGACCTCAGCTGGTTTGGCATTCAAGCTGTGGGTTGAGACTAGGTCTACGCTACTTGTCTCTCATTCTCCTCAGATCAGCAGCTTCCAGGGGTCTGGTTTTCCCGTGTGGGGAGAAGCAGAAGCATAAATGAACAAGCCCAGCCCCACTGCTAGATGTAAAGCCTATGTCTGCTTCACACCCACCAACATTCCTTTAGCCAAAGCAAATCACACGGCCAAACCTAACATCAATGGAGCCAAACAATAATCCCCCCTTCTGCATGGTAGAATCACAAACTCAGATGACAAGAGCGTGGGCTGAAGGGCAAGTGGGAAAAATAGTGTAATCTACCACCCAAATATTTTCTATTTTAAACTTATAAAGCTATAGTTTATAACCATTTTTGGAACCTTAGAAGACCCCACAGAGAATCAGATAAGCTTCTGAATTTCCCCATTACTGGGTATATACCCAAAGGAAAAAAAGTGATTCTAGCAAAAAGATGCATGCACATGTATGTTCATCACAGCATCTTTCACAATAGCAAAGACATGGAATCAACCTAGGTACCCACCAATGGTGGACTGGATAAAGAAAATGTGGTACATACTGACATGGTTTGGCTCTGTGTCCCCATCCAAATTTCATATTGGATTGTAATCCCCAGTGTTGGAGGTAGGGCCTGGTGGGAGGTAATTGCATCACAGGATGCTTGGGGTGTCGCTTTGCCAGCCAGAAACCTCTGTGGCCAGTGTCGCCTTTGCCTGAGTTTTTACTCAGGCCCACTGGGCTCGTTCCAACCCCTTGGCCTGGCACACTGCACTCAGCTAGCACTACTGGCCCAAATCTCATGCCTGCTAAGGACAAGCCAGACACAGAACAGCAAAGGGTGTGTCAGTGAGTGAGCATGGGGTCTGGCCACTAAACACAGCCAGGCATGCCGACTGCAGTGGAGTGGGCAACTCCTAGTGCCAGCACTGACACTGGCTCTCTGCGAAGCTGCAGCTGGACCAGGCATACCGCAAGCAGCTTCCACTGCTGGTACCAGGGAATGTGGGTGGCGCCTGGAGGCTTGGTGACATTAGGAACTGCAGAGCCTCAAAAAGGGTGTCACAGTCTTGGCTCAGGGACTATCCCCAAAGGGCCACAGCTCTTCTCTCTTTCTCTCTTCTCTCCTTGTCACCCACAATGTGGCAAGCAAGAGGTGTGTTTCAGCCCTGTTTGTATTACAGCTCTTTAAGCCCCACCATTCAGCAGGTCTCAAGTTCTTGTCCGGTGTCCAAGAAGAATGAGGTACACAGACAAGGACAGGATGAGCACTATGAAGAGGAGTTTTACTGAGAGACAAACAGCTCAAAGGAGACCTACAGGCAGGTCATCCTGATGAATGTTCAGCTCTCAGCAGAGAGGAGACCCTGGAGTGGGTAGCTCCTCTTCACAGGCAGGTCATCCCATTGTCTCTTCAAGTCTGGCTGAGTCTGGGCTTTTACGGGCTTCAGAGAGGAGGAAGTGTGTGCTGATTGGTTCATGGACAGCCATGGGCAGGCTCAGAAAATGCATCATAAGTTCACATTCTGGTCCATCAGTCCAGCCCCCAAGCTTCAGGTTGTCTCTGGCTTGAAGGTGGGGCTTCACCCAGGACCCACCCCTTTCCACCCATAAGTCTGTCTGCTTTCTGCTGCTGCTCAGGCTGTTTGTGTTGAGGGGCACTGCAGGCCCATGTGGAGCCTCCCTCAGCACCCTCTCAGCCTCCCTCCCGTGCTTGTCAGTGCCCAAAGTCTGGAGGGGACTGAGGCAGCAGGGGCTGGTGTGTCAGCACTGCCCCAAGTGTGGCCACACTCAGCCAGGTTGCAACAGCACCCGGACTCATTCTCAACTTTGCTCTGAGATCAGAGCAGGCACTGGGAGTGGGGAGAGGCCAGGCAGCAGGAGCAAGAACTTCTGAGCCTGTGGGGATAAGGGGGACTTCCCAGACCCCCAAGAATGCAGAGATGCCCAGGTCTGCATCTGCAGCTGTGCCTGGGGTGCACGAGGCTCCTGCCCTGTCAACTCAAGAAGGGGCAGGGCTTCCACCTGTTCCCAGCTCCCACCGGCTCCATGAAGCATGCAGCCACAGCCCTGCCTCCCTAACTGCAGCCAGCATCATGGCAGTGGTCACTCCAGGTGGGCCACTGCTGCCATCAGTTAGATCATGGGAACAGTTTCTAATGGTTTAGCACCATCCCCCTAGTGCTATCTTGTGATAGAGTTCTCACGAGATCTGGTTGTTTAAAAGTGTGCAGCACCTCCCTGCCCGCTTCCTACTCTGGCCGTGTAAGATGGGCCTGCTTCCCCTTCATCTTTCACCATGATTGTGAGTTTCCTGAGGCCTCTTCATCCATGCTTCCTGTACAGCCTGTGGAACTGTGAGTCAATTAAACCTCTTTTCTTTACAAATTACCCAGTCTCAGGTATTTCTTCATTGCAGTGCAAGAACGGGCTAATAGACATATACACCACGGAATACTATGCAGCCATAAAAAGAATGAAATCATACCCTTTGCAGCAACATGGATGCAACTGGAGGCCATTATCGTAAGTGAATTAGTGCAGGAACAGAAAACCAAACACTACATGTTCTCACTCATAAATGGGTACTAAACATTGAGTGCTTATGGACATAAAGATGGGAACAATAAACATTGGAGACTACTCAAAGCGGGAGAGATGGAAGGGGGTAAGGGCTGAAAAACACCTATTGGGTAGGTACTATGCTTGCTTTCTGGGTGGCGGGACCATTCATACCCCAAACCTCAGCATCGCGCAATATATTCATGTAAGAAACTTGCATGTTTACCCTATGAATCTGAAACAAAAGTTGAAATTATTATTATTAAAAAAAGAAGTTTCTGGCCGAGTGTGGTGGCTCACGCCTGTAATCATAACACTTTGGGAGAACAAGGCAGGTGGATCACCTGAGGTCTGGTGTTCAAGACCAGCCTGGCCAACATGATGAAACCCCACCTCTACTAAAAATACAAAAATTAGCTGGGCGTGGTGGCAGGTGCTTATAATCCCGGCTACTCAGGAGGCTGAGGCAGGAGAATCATTTGAACCCAGAGGGGGTGGAGGTTGCAGTGAGCTGAGATCGCACCACTTCACTCCAGCCTGGGTGAAAGAACGAAACTCTATCCCAAAAAGAAAAAAAAAAAAAAGCTTCTGGATTTCAATGTTGGCTCCTTCACTAGGTGGCTAGGTAACTTTGGGCAGGTTATTTATGTTTCCCAGGCCTCAGTCCCTGAGTGTGTAAAATGAGAGAAATAAGCCTGCTTTACATGACTGCTAGGATGACTAAATGAGACAGTATAAAGAGCTTAGCATAGAGTGTTGTACATAGAAAATGGGCTCAATAAATAGTAGCTGTTAATAACAGCTATTCAATAGACATTTGTTGGAAACTTCCTACATTTGTTTGAAAATTTCAGGAAATTTTCTAGGCTGTGATGATATAAAGATAATTAGTACACTACCCAAAACAGGTAAATGGTAAGTAGGGGTGCATGGGCAGGAGGCACCCAACCAGCCCGGAGCATCAGGAAGAGCCCCTAGTAGAGATGATATAGACAGAGTCTTAGAAATGAATGTGAATCTGCCAGAGAAGTGGGGAATTTGCCAGACACTGGGAGAGGCAGTGAGGGCATTTCAATCAGAGGAACAGCCAAATAGAATCTGGTGTGCTCGGAGGAGACACTCCGTGGAGACATAGTGGAGAAGAAGATAAGCAGGAGGAGTGAGAGGAGCTAGGGGACAAGTTTAGTTATCATAATTATTTTTTGCTAAGGAGTTGAATTATATCCCAAAGGCCATTAGCCAACTAATACTGTTCAAATTGGAATCAGTCATTTAATTGCATCATCTCCAAACTACATTAATGCTACACAGTCTCATTTAAACTCCTGTGACACAGAGAGGTCTGGAGTCTGTTGGAAATGAGATCTTCAGTCACAGCTGCTAAGAGGAAAACAGGAACCTTGGCTTCACTTTCGATCTCACTCAATTCAACAAAGGTTTAATGGAACCTCTCTCTGTGCCCAGCACAAGTACTTGGCACTTGGGATAGAGGGATGGAGTGGAGTGAAAAGTGTGAATAGACATGATCTCTGCTCCTAGAAGTTCCAACATAAGGGTTGGGTTCCAGCAAAAGGCAAAGCATGTCTCATAAAAGTGCTGTGTCTGTGACATGTGCCCTGCCTTCACCCCTCAGCCTGTCCCATCTCAGACCATGCCCTCATGGTTATATTTCCATCATGCCCTTTCAGGTTATATTTCCTGGACAGTAAACAGGGCTCACCTCCACTGAGCTGGATGGGCTTTTCTGGGTGCCACTCAATGCTGGTCCTCCCTCTCCTGCTTCATCCCCATGGTTTTCTTGAGGAAAGAAGACAGGGTCAGCAGAGGGTGGAAGGTTGAGAGTAAAGGGAGACTTGGACTCACTCTTCCTTGCCTTTCCTGCAGAGGAACAACTAAACAGCTTGGGAAACCGAATTCTGTATCTCACGGGCACTGAAGAAAGGGATTTTTAAAAAGCTGATTCTAGGCATTAATTAGTATGAGTTTCTGCTACATTTTTTTAAGTCGTACTTGTCACACCATTCAGTGGTCATTATCCCTTTTTAATGAATCCACAAGGTTAGTTTTATGATTGGCAAGAAATTCAGAGTTTCAGGAGAGACTCTGTATGTTAGAGAGCCCCTCAGGCCAAGGTCGTTCTTTCTAACAAGTGGATAAGCAGCCCCCTTTCTAGGGTGCTCCAGCCTCATGGGGACCCCCTGTGGGCCAGCATCCTTCACCTGGATGTTACTTCTCCAGATGCTTCCAACCTTCAGGTCCCAGTCCGCTCTGCTTCCATCCGAGGTCACCGAGTCCTTTCACACCATGATAGACTCCAATGCTGAATGCCTGGACCTCTAAGCAAGTGCTCCTCTCAGTTCCTCTTGTGAGTGTTGGGTGCCACCTCATCTTTCCCCAAGACATTAAAAGCCAAAGGTCAGAGACGCCTTTGCAGATTTTCCTGCTGCCCTAGCTCAGAGCCAGTGGGTGGGATCCACCTTCGCTTGATAAAGATGATTTTTGAGCCAACCCCCAGCAGGACGGTTCTGTAGGCAGGCTCTGCCCTGTCACGGGTCAAGCAGGACCCAATTTTCTATTTCCATTCATTTCTTGTTGCAGCTGTAACCACATACCACAGTCGCTGAAAACCACCCAGAGATTGATTATCTCACCCTTCTGAAGGTCGGAAGGTTGACACAGGTCTCACTGGGCTAACACCAAGGTGTCAGTAGGCTGCATTTCTTCCGGAGGCTGTAAGGGAGAACCCTTCTTGTTGCCTTTCCCAGCTTCTACAGGCTTTCTGCATGTCGTGGCCTCAACCTCTTCCATCTTCAAGCCAGCAGTGGGTGGTCGAGGTTTTCTCACAAGGCAGCACTCTGGCACAGACACTTCTCCCTTCCTCTGCCACATTTAACGACCCTGTGATCACGTTGAGACTGCCAGGATAATCCAGGACCACCTCCTTTTCTTCAGGTTAGCTCATTAACAATCTCATTCCACCTGCTCCCTTCATTCCTCCTTCCATGTAACATAGCATATTCACTGGCTCCTGGGACCAGGACGGCGATGCATGTGCAGGCCATGATTGTGCTTACCACAGTGATCAAGGTGAAGGAGACATGCAAAAACAAACAAACAAACAAACAAACACCCATTTCCCCAGCTTGTTTAATGGGACAGACACAACCAGAGAGACCCCCACTAGGCGGAATGCTCCCAAACAGGAAGGAAAAAGGATTGACTGTTATAGACACATTTCATTTCCTCCACTTCTTTTATCTTCCCAGGATTTGAAGTTGCCAGAAAGGTGGGAGTCTTTCCTTTGTTTATGGCTGTGACTTTGACACGTTAATGACAGGGGACTCTGCTAGCCTTGAAAGAGCGGGGAGGCCCGAGGAGACAGCTTGCCTTTCTCCCATCTGCCACCGGCCTATCGGAGCCACCATTTCACCTCGCTCTGCAGAGGTTTTCTTCACATATTCCACGAGGTTGAGGCCATCTGCTTCCCTATCTGTAATTAGTTGCACACTTGTGCTTCTGCTGCTATTGCACTATGTTATTATGTTCGGGATTTTAAAAGTATGATGTGCACCTCCCTTGCTTGAATCAAGACTCCCTCAGAGAATGGTGCATGTTTAACAGTGCCTGAGAGAGGGTGTCTGACGGTGAAGGAAGCTCTGGGGGGCGTTCTGAATCCTTGTGCAGCAGTCAGGCTGCAGTCTTACTCTTACCTCCTGGGAAGTCGCAGTCACATCTTGCCATCAATTCTGAAAGCCTCGTGCAAGCTGCTTGGTTTTGTATTTCAGGAGACTATGGAAGGCCAGCTGGTTGTCCAGAGCAGGAGATAGGGACCAGAAGGGGAAGATGGGATCCTGAGTGTGAGTCATTCTCACCATTCTGTCCTCAAAGAGAAAAAATTGGTGGTGGGCACCAAGCAGAGGCATAAACAGGTCCTAACATTAAGGGCAGGGAGAAGAGAGGGGATGAGGATGTAGCAGCATGGGAAAATAGTTGGTAAGAGAATAGTTGATGGAAGACTGAACAGCTTTAAAAGTTAGATTTAAAAAAAGAGCAGCGACTCCTTTTGCCCTCCTTGTCTGGTGTTACTTGGTCTTGTCAAGATTTTTTCATCATGGTCCTGTCAACAAATTACCTGGTAGGAAAAAAAAAATAATGAAAAAGTTTTCCTTTTAGAGAATGTGCTCACAGAAAGCAACTCTTCCCCCAAGGACTTGCCCTAGTCCCATCTCTGCATCTGGGGCCTGGAGGGACAGAGGGAGTCAGAGCATGTGGCTTGGTGGTCTTCAAGTGGGACATTCTCTGGCAGTGTGGGAACCACACATCAGGTGGCACCTGGTCTATACATGTCTTGGTGGGAGAACTGACGTAGGGACTAACCCTAGTTCCCTCCTGGATCCTGCTGCCCTGCCACTTCTTGGTGGAAAGGCAGGGGAGACCCAAACTGTGTAGTCAGAGCTCAACTGTTTCAATAGACCTTAGCACAAGAGCTGCTAGGAGTGGTCATGGCTTCTGTGAGTGAGCTATTTCATTTTTGAATAGATAACATAGTCACATAAGGTAAAATTGCAAAGGAATAAAAGAGTACACAGTGAAAAGATTTCCTCCCACCCTTGACTCCAGATACCTAATTCCTTCACTGGAACCAACTAATGTAATTACTTTCTTGCACACCCTGCCAGAAGTATTTAATGCATATATAAGCAAACATATATGAGTATCCTCTCCCTTTCTTTTAAAATTTAATTGTATTATTTTAAAGAGATTTTATTCTTTAGATCACTTTTAGATTCATGACAAAATTGAGCAGAAGACACAGAGACTTCCCATATTCTCTCTGGCCATATACCCACAGCCTCCCACCTTATCAACATCCCTCACCAGAGTGGTACATGCTGTTACAATCAATGAACCTACATTGATGCAACATTACCACCCAAAATCCATAGTTTACATTAAGGACACTCTTACTGTTGTACACTGTAGAGATCTGGGAAAATATATAATGACATGTAACCAGCATTGCAGTAGTATCACTGCCCTAAAAGTCCCTGTGCAATGCCTATTCATCCCTCCGTACCCCACCCCTGGCAACCACTGATCTTTCTACTGTCTCCATAGTGTCAGCTTTTCCCAAATGTCACATAGCTGGACTTCTACAATGTGTAGTCTTTTCAGATTGGCTCCTTTCATTGAGTAATATGCATTTTAAGTTTTCTCTGTGTCTTTTTTTGACTTGACAGCTCATTTCTTTTCAATGCTGAATAATACTCCATTGTCTGGATGTACCAGAGTTTATCCATTCACTTACTGAAGGGTATCATGGTTGCATCTAAGTTTTGGCAATTATGAATAAAGCTGCTGTCAATATCCATGTGCAGGTTTTTGTGCAGACATAGGCTTTCAACGCGTTTGGGTCAATATCAAGGAGTGTGATTGTTGAATCACGTTGTCTCCCTCACCCCCTTTTATCTATATACAATGTTCTGCATCTTGCTTTTTTTGCTATATTTTAGATATCATTCCATATTATCTCCAATGAACTCTTTATGTCAGTAAAAAAGAAATGCATGGGAAAGATTATGCATCTAAGCTTAGGACAACAAGAACACTTTTTTCTTTGATAGCCGTTTTATGAGACATGATCATGAAAGATGAAAAAACCCATTGGGGGATAAAAACCCCTGTTGAGGAAAACCTATGGTGTAAATAGTTTAACAAATTTAAATCGGGGAGTTGGGGAGGGAAACATTCTGGAAGCAGGACCATCATCACGGAGCACAGGGGACAAGCACACTGTGTGACAAAAGGAACAAAGGATCTAGAGTCAGAAGCTGGTTCAAACTCTGGCTCCTTCTCTTGCTATGCAGCCTTAGACAAGTCATTCTTGGACCTGGATCCTCAGTTTTCTCACCTATGAAACAGCACCAATAAAAATGCCTGTTTCACCAGTTTTTGGAAGAATCCAATGAGATGATGCACGAGACAGAAGTCTTTGGAAAACATTAAGTGCGAGATGGATATGTTCACTCTCTCAGCGATATTGCCGTGTGCTGGCTGTGCACCAGGCCCTGGAGGCTGGGTGGAAAGCTGATGCAACTCTACGCCCTATGGAGCTTATATTCTCAGGGTGTGGGCAGGATAAACGAATAAGCAAAGAAGAGAGTTTGAAAGGTAGTGCTAAAAAGGAAATAACACACAGAGAGGTGAGTAAGTGCTCAGATGGGTGCCCAAGTGAGATAGGGAGGTCAGAAGTGTGCTCAAGAGGTTCCCATAGAGCTTGTCACCACCCAAGGCAACACAGGAAGGGTGTCAAGGCCAGATGTAAATTATCTGTGACCAGCAGTGCCAGGGGCAATGCAGCCTTGAGAGGAAAGTTGGCAGACGGCTGGGTTGTTTTCTCCTTTTTCCAACTGAAGCTCCTCCCCCCAGCCTTTCTCTTCCCTGAGGCTGGTCTGGGGCTGGTGGCACCAAGCAAGGCAGTGGAGGCTGTGGGCCGGTGTAATACGACTCTCATCCATGCGCAGATCCGGAATAGGAGCCCAAAGGAGGTCAGAGGTAGCAGGGAGCCCAGCCAGCTATGTGTCTTCCTTCCACACTGCCTCTGCAGCTGGGCCAAGCTGTTTGTTTGGATTGTAGAGTGGCTTTTTATTTTCTTCTAACACCACAAAGCAGCACATTTGTGCATGTTTATGTGTAAAATGGTATGCATTTAAAATGAAACAAACTTTTATATAAGTGTACAAACTTACAGAGCCGTATTTCTAAGCTTTCGCTGTACTTCTAAGTGCAGTGAGAGCAAAACAGCTTCTCAGATTCAACCTTCATTCAAAAGAAAGCCTGAAGCCACCCAGGGGAGACAAGAATGGGCCTGGGGTCCATCAGAGAAATGCAAATCAAAACCCCAATGAGATACCATCTCACACCAGTTAGAATGATGATCATTAAAAAGTCAGGAAACAACAGGTGCTGGAAAAGATGTGGAGAAATAGGAACACTTTTACACTGTTCGTGGAACTGTGAACTAGTTCAACCATTGTGGAAGACAGTGTGGCTATTCCTCAAGGATCTAGAACTAGATGTACCATATGACCCAGCCATCCCATTACTAGGTATATCCCCAAAGGATTATAAATCATGTTGCTATAAAGACACATGCACACATATGTTTATTGCAGCACTATTCACGATAGCAAAGACTTGGAACCAACCCAAATGTCCATTAATGATAGACTGGATTAAGAAAATGTGGCACGTATATACCATGGAATACTATGCAGTCATAAAAAAGGATGAGTTCACGTCCTTTGTAGGGACATGGATGAGGATGAGTTCACGTCCTTTGTAGGGACATGGATGAAGCTGGAAACCATCATTCTCAGCAAACCATCGCAAGGACAGGAAACCAAACACCTCATGTTCTCACTCATAGGTGGGAACTGAACAATGAGAACACTTGGACACAGGAAGGGGAACATCACACACTGGGGCCTGTTGTGGGGTGGGGGGAAGGGGGAGGGATAGCATTAGGAGATATACCTAATGTAAATGACGAGTTAATGGGTGCAGCACACCAACATGGCACATGTATACATATGTAACAAACCTGCACATTGTGCACATGTACCCTAGAACTTAAAGTATTAAAAAAAAAAAAAAAAGAATGGGCCTGAGGTGTCTCAAGTTGCAGGAAGAGAAACCAAGAGAGACTCATCTGAGCTCCTATCGCAAATGCCCCAGAGGTAACTGAAAGGCTCCCAGCCTAAATCCAAGTTTATCCCAGGCCACCTTGTGCATAATAGAGGTAATAGTCATTCTCCACTAAAGAAACACTATGTGCAGTGTACACAGGTTAAGGATGTTCTGTGCATCTCTAATTCTCACAGCACACCCAGGTTGGTGCTCTGCAGGTGGGTGTCAGGGACTGGTAGGCAAGGAGTAGAAACCAAAAGGAAAACCTGTACCATCCTCTGAGAAAGCCTTGATTTAAATAAAGTTTTGTGACCCAAATAAGGACACAAGCCAGTCAGTAGCCCGGCCAGGATCCCAACACAGGTGTACCTGGTTCTAGATACAGCATCTCTCAACCCAAAGCAGTGCATTTGGGCCACCATTTCCACCCACAAGTCAACAGAATCCTCAGGTTGTTGGTCTCAGGGACCCCTGAGAGTCTGCTCAGGGATCCTGCTAAAGACTACCAGGCAGACCCAGTTTCCTAAGCAGCGTCTGTAACCTAACGATGATGGTGAGAAGTTCCCGGGTACTGACTGTGCTTTGTAGCATGCAAGCAGGCCTGGCGCCATGTCTATTGTTCCTGCCTTCTGTCCACCTTCCACTGATCAATTTTAGCAAGATTGGAGACCAGGATAGAAATCTATTCTTATTTATTCTTTCTCACTAACCATCTATCAAAAATTACCTATTCCCGGCAGGTGTGGTAGCTCACACCTGTAATCCCAGCACTTTGGGAGGCCGAGGCCAGAGGATCGCCTGAGGTCAGGAGTTTGAGACCAGCCTGGCCAACATGGCGAAACCCTGTCTTTACTCAAAAATACAAAAATTAGCTGGGCATGGAGGCATATGCCTGTAATCCCAGCTACTCGGGAGGCTGAGACAGGAGAATCACTTGAACTCAGGAGGTGGAGGTTGCAGTAAGCCAAGATCTCGCCACTGCACTGCAGCACTCCAGCCTGGGCAACAGAGCAAGACTCCATGTCAACAACGACAACAAAAATTACCTATCCCAGAGATGGGTTACTGGTTGCCTAGGGCTGAGGGAATGCAGAAGAAGGAGGAGTGATGACTGATGGGTACAAGGTTTCTTTTGAGTTCCTGAAAATATTTCGGAATTAGATAGTAGTGATTGTTGTACAGCACTGCGGATATATTAAAAACCACTGAAAGGTACACCTTATATTGGTGAGTCGTGTGGTGTGTCAGTTACACCTCAAAAAAGCTGTTAACAGAACATTACCTGTCTCATTTCCCATCTTTTCATAGCTATTAAGTGATTAGATATGGTGGGTTTTAAATACATCTATAAATACTTTGGTTCTTTTCCACTGAAGAGACGGAACTTAGTGTAACGCTCCCCTTGAGTAGACTTAACTTTATCCTAGGACTTAGTAACTTTATCCTAACAATCACATGTGTCAGTCTGGGCGCGGTGGCTTATACCTGTAATCCCAACACTTTGGGTGGCCAAGGCAGAAGGACCACTTGAGCCCAGGAGTTCAGGACCAGCCTGGTCAACATAGGAAGACCCTGTATCTCCAAAAACCACAAAAATTAGCTGTGTAGTCTTGGCTACTGAGAAGGCTGAGGCAGGAGGATCACTAGTGCCAAGGATATCAAGGCTGCTGTGAGCTATAATTATACCACTGCACCCCGGCATGGGTGATAGTCCCAATAATAATAATAATAATAGCATTTGCTAGTAGTGAGAAAGTATAACTCCCAATAGCAGGCATTACAGCTTCCCCCTTGCTTCTCTTCCTTGGACCACTCATCCTTGAAGGAAGCCAGCAGCCGTGTTGTGAGGACACACAGACAGCCCCGTGGAGAGCACATGTGGTGAGGAGCTGAGGCCTCCTACCGAAAGCCGCCTGAGTGACCCATCTTAGAAGCAGATCCTCCAGCCACAGTCAAGCCTACACGTGACCTCAGCCTCGGCCAGGATCTTCACTGCATCTTCATGAGAGACCCTCAGCTAGAACCACCAGCTAATTTGCTCCCAAATTCCTAAAGATGATACATGTTTATTAAGCCACTAAATTTTGGGATAATCTGTTAGGCAGCTTTAGTTAACATACGATATAGTAGAATACATGATTAGATAACATTAACATACGATATGGTAGAATGCATGATTAGATAACAATCTGTTAGATTGTATTGGTAACAATTAGCTAATCTGGGGTAAAGTTTGGACAAACCCTGGTGGGTGATGCTTTATTCTTCCCAAATAATGCCTTTCTATTTTAACAGAGTAACCTACCTAGAGCTGCAGTGCCCCAATTCAAAAGCACTGTGACAATGGCAAATATTTCCGACTTGTTGGTAGGCCTGTAGGGAGGTTATTTTTGATCAAGAGCTGGGGAGTTTCTGTGACTTTCTAATTACGCCATGCAGCCAGCTGCCTGTTCTTCCTAGAGTGTGTCTGCGCTCATTCCTCAGGTGGCCCAGAGAGACAATTCCTGTCAGAGGCAATACGGGCAGGGACTTGATAATGTTACCAGCCTCCAAGTGGCAGGAAAATGCTCCTTTCTCTCTAGGGTTCCCATTTCCCCTTTCTCTTCATGGCACCACCTCCTTTGACTATCTGGTCTCCCACAAGCAAAGGTCAGCCACTCTGTCCTTTACGTCCTTCATTCAAGGGTCTTTCCATTTTGGGTAAGTTATGCCTTTGCTGTCTGCTGACTTTTTCTCTTTTTTTT